GTTTTTATCTGAGGAAATCTTCACATCTCCCTCAGTTCTGAAAGACAGTTCCCAGCAGGTGAAAACTCTACACCGACCGTTTCTCCTTTGAAGACTCTATTGTCTTCTAGGCTGCACGGTTCCTGAAGAAGTGTCGGCTGTCATCCTGACCTTTGCTTCTCTGGACATAACCTGTGCTTTCCTCTGGCTGCCTTCAAGCCGGTCTTTTTCTTTTCAGCAGTTTGACTAGGCTGTGCTCCAGTGAGTGCTTTTATTCGTGGTGGGTGTTCTTCTTTTTCTGTTTTTGGTGTTTCCACTACTCAAGGGGTGGGAGCGTGCTCCAAGCGTGCTCCAAGCGGTTGCGCCTCGGCTCGGAGCATGCCCCCGGTGGGTGGTGGCAGTGGCCAGAGCGAAGCAGCCCGGGTCCCAGATGCCTGGTGGCGGCAGCCAGAGCAAAGCAATCCTGGTCCTGGGTGCCGGAGGGAAGCCGGCTCTACACTGACAGTTTCTCCTTTGAAGACTCTATTGTCTTCTAGGCTGCACGGTTCCTGAAGAAGTGTCGGCTGTCATCCTGACCTTTGCTTCTCTGGACATAACCTGTGCTTTCCTCTGGCTGCCTTCAAGCCGGTCTTTTTCTTTTCAGCAGTTTGACTAGGCTGTGCTCCAGTGAGTGCTTTTATTCGTGGTGGATGTTTTTTCTTTTTCTGTTTTTGGTGTTTCCACTACTCAGTGTTCTCTGGAAAACCTCGGCCATCACTTCTTCAAGTTTTCTTGTGAGATTCTAATTATTCATCTGGTAGAACACTTGATACTGTCCCTCAGTTCTTAAGATGCTCTAGTCTGTATTTTTATTTCTCGCTGCGTTTCGGTTTGTGCAGTTTCTATTTTTCTATCTTCAAATTTACGGCTTCTTTTCTCAATCGAGTGCCGGTCGCAGGCATCTATTCTTCTCTGTCTAGCACTCCTAGCTCTGCCATTTGGTCGTGTACGCTCCATCTCCATGCTGGGATGGCCCAGGGAGTCCTGCATGTTGCCTACATTGTCCATTAAAGCCTTTAATGTGTTGTTCACAGTTATGTTAAATTCCCATCCCCCTCAGCTCCCAGTCCAGTACTTGCTGCTGCCGCTATCACGACAACGACGGGACAAGTGACTGCGGAAAGCGCAGCACAGTGCTCGGCGCTCACACCCATGTCCACGCAGAGGCCAGACGTTGGGGAGGGGGACCCCGCTGACTCACCACTGGGCCGTCCTGCGCGCGTCCCCACCGCTGGCTTGTTGGGGGGTTTGGTCATGGACTCGATGTACAGTTGCTGCCCCAGGGTTTTAATTTTGTTTACACTGGCATAGACCTGCTGCAAAGTCAACTTGGGGAAAAGAATGAAATACGTCTCACATATGATCACATGAACATTACAAGATACATGAGCAGAATACATGAAACTTCTGGTCCCCCGAACATGTGGTGATGAAAAGCACAGCAATGGCCTTGATTCCGTTTCCCACCCGGTTCACCCGACAACAACACACATCGTGCACACTCCGCTGGTCTGCAGAAAGCACACTATTACCATAACCACCACTTTCAAGGGGAGGGCTGGCAATAAGTTCCCAGTTTTTATCTGAGGAAATCTTCACATCTCCCTCGCTTCTGAAAGACAGTTCCCAGCAGGTGTAAAACTCTACACTGACAGTTTCTCCTTTGAAGACTCTATTGTCTTCTAGGCTGCACGGTTCCTGAAGAAGTGTCGGCTGTCATCCTGACCTTTGCTTCTCTGGACATAACCTGTGCTTTCCTCTGGCTGCCTTCAAGCCGGTCTTTTTCTTTTCAGCAGTTTGACTAGGCTGTGCTCCAGTGAGTGCTTTTATTCGTGGTGGATGTTTTTTCTTTTTCTGTTTTTGGTGTTTCCACTACTCAGTGTTCTCTGGAAAACCTCGGCCATCACTTCTTCAAGTTTTCTTGTGAGATTCTAATTATTCATCTGGTAGAACACTTGATACTGTCCCTCAGTTCTTAAGATGCTCTAGTCTGTATTTTTATTTCTCGCTGCGTTTCGGTTTGTGCAGTTTCTATTTTTCTATCTTCAAATTTACGGCTTCTTTTCTCAATCGAGTGCCGGTCGCAGGCATCTATTCTTCTCTGTCTAGCACTCCTAGCTCTGCCATTTGGTCGTGTACGCTCCATCTCCATGCTGGGATGGCCCAGGGAGTCCTGCATGTTGCCTACATTGTCCATTAAAGCCTTTAATGTGTTGTTCACAGTTATGTTAAATTCCCATCCCCCTCAGCTCCCAGTCCAGTACTTGCTGCTGCCGCTATCACGACAACGACGGGACAAGTGACTGCGGAAAGCGCAGCACAGTGCTCGGCGCTCACACCCATGTCCACGCAGAGGCCAGACGTTGGGGAGGGGGACCCCGCTGACTCACCACTGGGCTGTCCTGCGCGCGTCCCCACCGCTGGCTTGTTGGGGGGTTTGGTCATGGACTCGATGTACAGTTGCTGCCCCAGGGTTTTAATTTTGTTTACACTGGCATAGACCTGCTGCAAAGTCAACTTGGGGAAAAGAATGAAGTACGTCTCACATATGAGCACATGAACATTACAAGATACATGAGCAGAATACATGAAACTTCTGGTCCCCCGAACACGTGGTGATGAAAAGCACAGCAATGGCCTTAGTTCCATCTCCCACCAGTTCACCTGACAACACACATCTGTGCACACTCCGCTGGTCTGCAGAAAGCACACTATTACCATAACCACCACTTTCCAAGGGGAGGTTTTCTTTTTACAGTTTCCCACGCCAGGGTGGGTGGGAATGGCACGTCTCACATATGATCACATGAACATTACAAGATACATGAGCAGAATACATGAAACTTCTGGTCCCCCGAACATGTGGTGATGAAAAGCACAGCAATGGCCTTGATTCCGTTTCCCACCCGGTTCACCCGACAACAACACACATCGTGCACACTCCGCTGGTCTGCAGAAAGCACACTATTACCATAACCACCACTTTCCAAGGGGAGGTTTTCTTTTTAGTTTCCCACGCCAGGGTGGGTGGGAATGGCTCCCAGCAGGCAGGGCTGCAGGTCCAGGGGACCCTGAGCTGTGGGCCAGCCCCGCGACACCTCGCAGGTGCCAGGGTGGGGGA